ATACCAGTCCTTTGCTCTCTTTTATTTTAAGTTCAGGATGATTAAGTCTTGGGTAATTCACATGACATGAAGTTCATTGATTCACATGGAACTGATTCACACGATGCCAATGGACAGATGTTAATGGATGGACAGGATGAACAAGATGATCTTAAGTCATTAATGCATCCTAAGGAAAGGACTCAAAGGACATGGTTGGGTGTCCATTCAAACACCCACACCTCACCAATGCAAAAGAAACAAAGGAAGGAAGTGAGATCTACTTATAGACCTCGACCAGGGGGTGTATGGGTAATGTAGTGCACTAAATTTTGTAATGTAGTTTGCTTGGAAATGTGGGATATGTAGTACAAATATATGGGGTAAAAAAGGTAAAAATTAAAGAAAAGGGCCAAATTCACAACACTACCCACTAGGGCTGCACGATACTGGAAAAATATGCGATGTTGTTGAGTATTGCGATTGCCATATTTCTTGCGATATAACATAGAGAAATGCTATTTTTATTAAGCTTTTTTTTAAAATCATTTATATATGTAATGATTTTACTAAAATAAACAGGTAGGCTAAAACATATTCTTCTGATCTGCAGAAGAATATCTCAGTTTTTTCAGAAGGAGTTACACTTGCAAAACTTTGATTAATGGTTGTCTGTGAGACAGTTACTTGGCATTTCGTTTGCAGTTTTGGTAGATGTGGGCTTACACTTTTTGAAGTCTTCATATATCTGAGGTTGCGTTTCAGATGACTGTGGAGATTCGTTTCCTCTCGACGTGGCCACAGTTTTTCCGCACGACTTAGTGACACGTCACTTATGTTCACATATCGCGTTTTTGGCGCGTGCAAATTCGTTATTTCAAATGCAGGCTTGCGGCAAGCACGCTCAAAATAGAAGCACATTTTTTCCAGGTCCGCCTATGGGGGTAAGGCGACCTGGAAGGGGGTAATCCACCAGCCGGAAACTGAAGCCTCCCCGGGGGCCGCCATTGGCTAGCAAGCCTTCACCTGCTGTTAGCATTCCATTGACTCCCATTCATTTTGGCGTCACTTTGACAGCGAATAACTTTACATCTGAGGCGTTTAAAGTCTCCATTTGTCCATTGTTTATTTCTAAAGAAACGACAATGTATAAAAGGCTCCATTACCTTGTATCTTACGTTATGGCCCCGTAGAAGCCGTTTTTGTAAAAATATGCTAATGATTGCGTCATAACCATGCAACTCTCTGAGAAATTACCGTATAGACAGGAGGAGAAGCCCGCGGGCAATCAGGGGGACGTGGAGGAATAGCGTCCGATAAACTCAAGGGAGAAGCCCATAGAGAGTCATAAAGTGTCTCCTGCTGCGAGCTCATGGACAGCTCCTACTCACGCTCTCAGTCTCTGCAAGATTCGGAAGGGAATGATTCAGATTCCTCTTGGCACCGCTACTAGAAGACTTACAACTGTGAGTCAGGTTGCTCACGTCACATCTCCGTCGTCAAGCTCAGTTTAGCATCAGGAAGAGAGTGCTTCTAATTGCCTTCACTTTTCTCCGTTGAAGTCTATGGGGTCGCTGTGTCCATTTCTTGTACTGTCTATGATGCCGCAACGAGATGAGAACATCTCAACTTTTCAGAAAGCCGCAAGCTCACCGCAGGTCATGTGACAAAAAACAACGATCAGCTTCGGCCTTTCCCTAACAACTTTGAAAGCTTAGCCCGAACAGCTGATCATAGCTGTACATGGCGGGTTTTTATTTCTCATCTCCATAAATATATCTAGAAGTAAAGCTAATACAAGGGCTAGAAATCAATTTAATCCTTTGCAGATACTTATTCGTCATCATGGAAAGCCCTCAGCGCAGTTCATGGTTGCATAGCAACGACAGACACAAGCGCTTGTGGAAAGGAGGAGATAGCGGGGCGGCGCTTTCCAGGCGTTTTTAGACGCGATATGTGAACGGCCCCTTACACAGTACCTGCACTTGTGACACTTCTTCTCTATTGAAGCCAAAATATTGCCATATTTCAGACGTACAATTCTTTTTAGCCACAGGTTTTTCGCTGTTGTCCTTTTCCTCACTTGTCTCTACTCCCACCATTAGTTTTTATTTTCCACTATCTGCTCTGAGCCAATAGGTTCCCCTTTGGGCCCGATCTAGCCAATAGCATAATAGCATCTACTGGGGAGGCGGGTATAAAGATAGTAAGGCCCCATTTGATTGGTCGAATTTGGATAAACAACCTATGCATGCATGCAACACACAAATGCTTGGCACATAAAATAAATGTAATTTATCGCACCTCTCTGCGATGCAGATATCGCATATACTATTATCGCGATCATTTTTCGATATATTGTGCAGCCCTACAGTAACTTACCTTATTGTTTTTATACAACTGTTTACAACCAAAAAAATATGTATCAATGCAACTGTCATGAAGTAAAATCACTAAAAGCCTTCCTTTTGCTGGAAAAACAGTCCCTGACCGTGAACAGCAACAGAAGTAACATTTATTAAGCCATTAAATGAGGGCAAAACTGTCTTTAAGACTGAATCACTTAAAGCTGACTAGCTTTGTCAGTGTCGGGGGAAATGGAAAAGATATCGCAGCGGACATTCAATGGGTTTTTTATTATGAACATAGGACTGAAAAGTTTGGGGTGTGTAAGATTTTTTTTATTCTCTTCTGCATTCATTTGATAAAAAATACAGTCAAAACAGTAATATTTTTACAATTTAACATGGGCTATCAGTTTTCTATGTCATACTTAACTAATTTATGCCTGTGATCAAAGCTGAATTTTCAGCATCATTACTCCAGTCTTCATAATCCTTCAGAAATCATTTTAATATGCTGATTTGCTGCTCAAGGGACATTTCTTATTATCAATGGTAAAAACATATTTTTCATATTTTTGTGGAAACTATGATACATTTTATGCAGAATTATTTGATGAACAAAATTGAAAGAACAGCATTTATATAGAATACATATTTTTAACAGTGTTAAACCCTTGAGTGTCACTTTTGATCAATTTAATGCATCGATCCTTGTTTAATAAAAATATTAATTTCATTAAAAAAAAACATTTTGAACTTTTATGTACAATTTTTGTTTGTTTATTGTGGAATAACTCCCGATTGTTTCTCTGTCATCTAAGCATTGTTCAGGGCTTTGTTTCCCAAACGCAATGTGAGTGAACTCAGTGAAGCACCAGCAGTGAACGCTCTCTGTGATTGAGTGGTTTCGTCTTGTATCCAGATGACTAGGAGAAATACCAGTAGTTCTATCCTACACAATTATTCACTAACATTCGCTTATTTTTCCACTTAGAAGCTTATTTTACGCACTGAATTGCGTGCTAATTTAATAAAAATTACTGGTAAAAAACACACACATTTCGATAGATATTTTTATGTGAGGATCGATCGAAATACTGACGTATCGAAAAGGATCGATCCTCACATAAAAATATCGATCGAAATGTGTGCCCACCCCTACCGACCAGGCGAACACTCCCCAAGGGAAAAGCAATCAAACAATCGATCAATTGAGATGGGGACATCAATCGTCAAAGAAATAAACACACTGTAAAATACATTTGAGAAATACATACTCTTATCTCGTCACATATAACATTTTAATTATTTACTATTATTTATCTATTTTTGTAACCACCACATCTACCTATCTATTTCTCATCTATTAATCTCTTAATATACTCTTGACTCTTATATCTGGGTTAGGGTTAGAACCAATGTGAATAATGAGGACAAGCTGTTCAAAAAATGAAACGTCCCTGAAAAATGTGGTAAAGAAATGGGAAATTTTACAAATTTATTTACAAATAAACACTTTCAATACACTTAGTCTAAAAAATCTCAGCCTGTTATTTAAAGTTGAATGATTTTGTTGTTGTTTATTGTCATTTATATATATTTTTATTACAGTTTGAGATATTATTGCTTTTGTGTCATTGGTAGCTAGAAGGCGAATATTGAAAATCCTCATGCCACCCTCCAATTTTACTTGGTTGAAGGACTTAATGTTCTTTCTACACCTAGAAAAAAATTAAACCCTCCATTAGAGACTCTGTTAAGTCATTTTATAAAATGTGGAACCCTGTCCTTTCATTTGTTTGAACTGTCCCTTCATTTGAGATTTGATTCCACAATGAATTAAATGAATAAATAAAAATATATAGTGTTTGTCTTTTCTTTTCTTAGTTTTTGTATGATATCTGGGATGGGTGGGGTGTTGTTCTGGTTATTTGTATTTTTTTTTTCATTTTTTTTTCACATTTATATCTATTTGGATCTTTTAAGAATAAACTTTTATTTTGGTTTGGTGGTGTGACGTCATAAGGCTGCGCCACGCTCCTGCATTTGCTGTGGTTCGGCTGAAAAAAGGTTTGTGTTTTACAGCGTTTAAATCGATACGAACCATGCAGACTGTTTTATAGCTATATGAGAGCTATGAAATAAGTTATATATCACTGAATGTTAGGTTGTTATGCTTGAAACGAACCGTTAAGCGTTTGACCAAAGCGCAGTAGTGACGGAGAAACTCAGCCTTTGGAAAATCAAATCAATTGAATTAACGTTAAATGCCTCGCGAAATGATTCAGTGATTCGAATCACCGCGTCTAACGAACACAAAGGTGTAATAAAAACCAACAGCGAATGTTTAAATGAAAGTGCAGCCTATAATCTACATTTTATAAATACCAGACAAACAAAGTCTAAGCAATAGAATCATTGTAATTATATGTTTGTCTATGGCGATATAATTTGCGCTCTTTAATTCATATAGTACTAGTTTTTAAGTTTTTTTTTCAAAATTACTTTTTGGCTAATGTTTAACAGTTTAAGTCTATTAACTCTTACTCTGACTCTCTTGCCAGTGCACTGACTGAACTACCGTTACTGAACTAGAGCTGATTGAGATGCAGAGATTTAGTTTTAATTTATTTTTCTTTCTGTTAATTATACTCATTTTAAACATGACATATTGTCCAAACACAGAAAAAACTCCTGGTGAAGCGACTGAGATCCAGTGACACTATTATAAAGATGGCGTTTATTAAAGTGAAAAGTGAGGACATGGAGATTGAAGAAACATTCAGAGTGAAAGAAGAAGAAACTCAGGAACAAACAGGTTGGTTTCATTCTCAAAGCTGAACTCAGTCATTTGATCCATATGAGAGCCGATTCTAGGATTTATTCAACTGGGAGCCACAATTAATACAGAGAGGCCAATCTTATGTTTTTTATATGTAAAACTATAGATATCCAAGTCATTTAAAACTCAGTAAGCTTTAAAATCAGCAATAAACAGTTATACCTTATTTTCTTTTAATGGCATTTATTCAATGCTGTAAATAAGAACAGTCAAATTCAATTTGTATTAACTTTTCAGAAGTAAAAACTATTCACAGATTGGATTATTTCATTTATTAGAGTACAACTCACAAAAAATATAAAACTCAACATTAGGTAATAAACTTTACACAAATCCTCACAACCTTATACATGCTTGGGCAAAAATAAATAAATAGAACAGCCTTATTTATACAAATGCAGAAGTATATTATTCATATAATAAATACACAATTAATTAATATAACTTTATTAATGAAATACAATATTAGTAAATTGTATCCACATCCTATTAAATTTGCATTGATGTATAGACAAAATCTAAATATGCCAAGGCTAATTAGCCTTGTGCATATGATTGTATAATATCATATAGCTTGTCCTTTCTGTTAGCTACTTTTTCAAAAGGGTACCTTTAGTTTAACTACATGCAAATTATAAGTATCTTATAAAAAACTGTTTAGAATACCTTATTTATTTATAGGCTATTATTATACATTCTAGTAATATTTTATTTACGTTACTATTCATGTTTTTTATTTGAGAATGTTTCTGGATGTCCTGACGTTTTGTCACTAACTTCTGTTAGTTCTGAGACTCATAGTGTTCACTTTGCTTGACATAAAATTCAAAAAAATTAGCCAGATTGTGCCACACAACATTGCAAAACTACAAGATATTTGACACCATCTATTTTATGTTTCAGACAGCAAGAAAACTCAACATCAAATATCTTCATAATTTCTAGATATTATGAGAAATTATCCATAAGAGAGACCATTAAATACCATGTCCGGGTTGCAAATTGTGCATACACCAAAATTATTTTTATGAATATGGTCCATTTCGAAGTGTTTAAATCCAAACAAACAATATTTGTAGATTCTCCTCCACTCCTGTATTGTGTTGTGCTTGCACAGCGTCACGTAGACTCTGATCAGAGGCGCCGGAGCCGCTGCTTCCGTGGCTTGCAGTTTGTATATTAGCTAATGTCGCAATAATTTTTTATTGATTTTTTAAAGTTTAATTACAATTCTTATGAAGTCATTATCGAGTCATTCGGCACGACACTGATTTAATTTAGAGTATTCGTTCTTAAGTCAAAGTCAAGTAATTTTCTTCATTTATTAGAAATCTTTAAATTCGCATGCAGTCACGGAACTCAAGACCTCCACCTCTGATATTTACAGCTTTTTAGGTGTGGAACGTGAGATAAACATCATACGATTTGCTTAAGCATCTGGTTTGCAATATCAGTTGCGTATCGGCCGAAAAAAATCACAACACAGGAAAACCCTGATGGTGTTATGTATTACATTAATTCAGCCACAGAGCATTGTAATGACATTGAATCTGGTCTGTCCTAAAACTGGAAGACGGTACCAAAATCTAGCACTGCAACAACTCGCTAATAAAAAAAATGAGCTCAACTTACCATGTGCTTTTTTTTTTTGGGGAAACGGAAGCTCGCTATTCTTAGTCCGGTTGTTAAGCATCGCGGAACCGTTAATTATTCAAAAGCAAGCCGAAAGATATCATTTGAATATTTGAGTGATAGACGAGTAGAAGGCTGGGCGCACATAAGGGGGCCAATCAGTTTTCAGGAGGGGCCAGTGCCCCCATGATGGCCCCTCCCCTGTCTACGCCACTGAATCCATGTTAAAATGGATTGCTATGGATGGCTCTACAGAAATGAGTGATATAAAATTTTTTTTTTGAGGAATAGTTTTAAAGTGTCCTAATTAAAATGTCATTATTTGACATGGAGCGGTCCCTCATGTGGACAGACATGTTGATAACACATGACCAGACAAACACGAATGTTGCTTTCAAACCAGACTATTTTTTCCCTCCGCACTCTTAAGCATTCAATTATCACTCCGCTCCAATTTCCTTGCTCACTGATAACAGAAACACTGCTCCACTTTCCTGATTAAATTTGCGTCTAAAGTATTTTAGTATACTTTGTAATATCACAAAAGTTCTGTTCAGAACATATATTAATAGAAAAAATAAGCAATACTAGGAGAATAGTTTCAGCGTGGTTGATTGGAACACTAGTATGCATTAAACATTTTTACCCCACAACATGCAAAAGACTACGGCAATTAAAATGAATCAGCATTAAAAAGATGAGTATCATTGCTGCGTTTTGCAGTGCAAATTTTAGCTCAGAATTTTGGAATTCCTCTCTCAACATGCCGATCATATCGAACATCTTATATTTAGACTCCATAAGACTCCCATTATAGTAGTGGCCATTTTGTACAGTACAGTATTCATTATTACTACTTTAAATTTTGTCCAATGCTTCTGAAAATTGGCTCAGATGATCTTTGGACCAAGACATCAAACCGTTGATAACAATTTTGTCGAGATTGGAAAAATGGCCTTTCCGCCATTTTACAATCTTTTAAACTGTGCAGATTCTGACAATGTTGCCAATATGTCACGTAATGTCATTTTTCACTTTAACAAATTTAGTCAAATCTTGTGCACATCTGCGGCACAGACTGATCTCATGAAATGGCGTATGTATGACACGCCAATTTGTATTTCCATTTTTGGCGTGCTATCAACACGCATAATCGCTTTTCAGCGTGTTTATCAACGCCTTTGACTTAACGTTATATTACTGTATTATGTATATATAAATATATGACCTACCCCAACCCCGTCCCTAAACCTTCCCGTCACTGGGGTTAATACCATTTATGAGTCTTCTCCTACCATCCTAGGAAAAGAAATATCGCTCCACAGATGTAGATATAGATTTTGCTTCGTTTCGCTCGGACATTTAACGGCGTACACATACACGCGGAATCACTCGGACATTTAATGGCGTAGACATACACGCAAAAGATTTCGGCGTAGACATACACGCGGATAGCTCAAAATGCGTGTAGATAACACGCCACTTGACTTGAAAGTGGCGTGTATGTTTACGCAAAGTCATGATGTCATGTTGTGCGGCATGTCATAGTGATGCCCACAAAGGTATTGCTCCTATATAACAGCTTTTTTTAAATCTATTCTATTGTGTGTGGGTCGTTATATTTCGAACAGATCTCTGCTAGTTCAAAATAAAATACAGATAATGTTGCACAGTAAAATGACATTTATTTGAGTCCATTAGTAAAAGAGCGTGTGTGTGTGTGTGTGTGTGTGTGAGAGAGAATTACTCCTACCTGTCAGCGGCGTCTCTCTACTTATAGAAACTATGACTTGTAGTTCTTTCAAAACCAGAAAGATATGCTAGAACTTTCAATTTTTAAGCAATTTTATTGATAAATTAGAAAAGAATTGACAATGTTTCTGTGTGTGCAATCTCCACGAGATACTGTCTGTAAATGTGTGCGTTATACAATGTAGCAGCACCTTAGTTTAGAACAGTGATCTACTTATCTGTATGATAAACTGTTTAAAACGTGCATTCACCTGGTCATTATGGAGTATGCGTAAATATCTTGTGGTTCGCTCTGAGTTTGCATGTATTTGTGCCATTGAACTGGGCTTAAACTTGTATTTGTCTGTTTTCACCTTAGACCTGATGCCGCTGAAAGAGGAGATTCAAGAACTTGATGATGGAAAGGAAGAGACACTTGATGTCATAACTGTGGAAAACGTTCTTGACTGCTGGCAGACTGAAAAGACTCGCTCACAAGAAACCGCTGAAAAGACGGGGAGTAAACGTTATTTCATCTGCTTTCAGTGTGGAAAGAGTTTCAGCCAACACGAAAACCTTGAAGCTCACATGAAGATTCACAGTGGAGAGAGCGCTTACCCCTGCCAAGAGTGTGGAAAAGGTTTCTCTGGAAAGGGAAGCCTCAAAGTCCACATGAGAAGTCACACTGGTGAGAAACCTTTCATCTGCCCTCAGTGTGGAAGGAGTTTTGCACACCAGGCAACGCTTAATGACCACAAACGAATTCACACTGGAGAAATGCCTTTCACATGTGATCGGTGTGGAAAGAGTTTCAGACGTAAAATAACCCTTAATTCCCACATGAGGACTCACTCGAGAGAAAACTGCTTTAAATGTCTTCAATGCGAAGAGAGTTTCACAGACAGCAATCACCTGAAGAGCCATGTAATGACTCACATTGGAGAGAAGCCTTTCATGTGCGATCACTGTGGAAGGACTTGCTCAAGCAAATCAAACCTTGATGTTCACGTGAGACTTCACACTGGAGAGAAGCCTTTCACCTGCCCTCAGTGTGGAAAAGGTTTCAATGAAAAAGGGACCCTTAAAATCCACCTAAGAGTTCACACCGGAGAGAAACCGTTCATATGTTTTCAGTGTGAGATGAGTTTCACATATCGAAGAGACCTGAAGCGTCATTTGCGAGGTCATCCTGGAAACAGCAGTGTTATGGTTGGTCTACCGATTCCAGAACGTGTCCGAAACAAAACGCCCCTAATCTGAATCTCGGCTCTGGAGGCTTCCTAAAGCTCAGCAAAGCTTGTACACATTGTAATGACAGTAACGATGTCAATTTAAATGCGTGCTTGATGAGAAAACATTGAAAGAACAGAACTAGTTATTCAACCCGAACCTTTATTGCAAAGGTTGACTCGAGCAGGACATTTTTCAGCGATAAGTTTTCACTCAGTTTGTCATCCATTACGTTGTTGCGTCTGTAATTCCACTACATCAGCATTTACAAGTGTTTCTCCATCCAAATTAATTAGTTAAACTTAAAGTTTAACTGAGGGTTTGACTAATCGTCCAGCCTTTCGAGCTCCAAGCCTCTCCACGGAATGATTTCTGATTTACCCAGTAATCAAACCTTAATTCAGTGTCCACTGGGATGTCCTCCAGAGCCTTTAACAAGACCACGTCCTTGTCTACTCCGTTAAACTTGATTACAACTAAACGATTTGAGATTTGCAGACTTGCCTGAATGGTTCATTCGCCAGCCAAACGTGTCTGCTTCAGGGTGACATGGGAATGTCTGTGCATCAACACACATTTGTCTTTGTCCTGATTGAAGCTGTGATGACCTTTCCATGATAGTCACAGACAATGTCACCTTTGCAAAAGTTCCAGGTTGCAACCACTCCTGTAATTAAGGAAACATTACATTTTGAGTTGCTGAATAAACTTTGCGGAAACGTTTCGGGATTTAATTCTAGTTCTTTGTGCAGTTAATGGCTGTTAAAAGGTACAATTTACATGATTGTATTTTCTGGCCTTAAAAAAACTGAAAGGTTTTCTTACCGAAACCTTTTGGAGAACCGAAATCCTTAAGTGCAAGGCCTGTCCAGGTTACGCAGCGTATTACGTAAGGGTCGGTCTCGACCCTGTGCTTGGAGGATGGTGTCCATAATTGTTCGATCTCCTCCTCAGGTTTGCAGAAATTGGTCGTCCACCCCTCCTGGTCAATCAGCCGTGCCACTGTAACCTGAAAGACAATGACAAGACTTTACTCATGCAAGTCACTGTGAATTAATGTCGAGTTAATGGGTGACAATGCTGTATTGATGGATTTGGAGACTTACAGTGAAGATATTCTTTTCTTTGGGCATACTGGGAGAGACGCCACTTATTGTAGTAATAGCGGTCTCCCGGGAACCCACAATCGATGCGTTGCCTCTTTGATGGAGGCTGGCCCTCCAGTGAAACTGGAAACATATCTGAAAACTGGGAGAAAGACCGCCGCATGCTGGTTTTAGTAACAGCTGTCCCCTCGTCCGAACAAGTCCTGTATAAGTGAGGAATGCAAAGTTTACGATAACTGTGGACAAGTTGCTAATCTGCTGTACAAATAGTTTGTGTATATACCCTAGTATATACCTGTAGAAATAAAATATTAAAGGAAATGTTAATCGTGAAATGACTGTGACTGACAAGATGTAACTGAGTGTATACATTCACACACGTGCACATTGATCCGTGTAGTATGTACATTGAATGGAGGTGGTTCATGTCTTGGGACACGCTGTGGACTGCATCAGCGGAACAGGGCACAAAAAAACACCTTTATCGGCTGCAATATCTATGAAAAAATGTCCCAACAAGTTATTAAATGTAAAACACTGGTGGTAAGCAATCTACTGTTTGTGTGGCACTGAAACGTACAGCTTCCTCAGCCTGGCTCAAGGCGATCTTCATACCAGCAGAGGTTTTCCTCTGTGTTTACGGACCACCACCCTGCTGCCGTGGTTAACACGTCCCACCCACTCCGCCTCCTGGAAAACATTGAAAAGGTGTCATTAAAAAGAAGTTAGTGAGTGTGAGTGAGTGAGTTTACCAATGCATACGTGAGCAAATATTAGATGTCACAAGTATAAACTTGTTAAATAGATGAACTTACCGTCAAGTCTTCCACAGCTCCTGGGAGCTGCATGTGAATGTAGACAAAGACCGCCTCACAGTAATATCGGTAAAGGGTCTTGTCTACATTGGAATTTTTTTGGCCCACCTGGAGGTCCCCTTGAATCCTATCAACATCTTTCTTTGCCACCTTCACAATTGTCTGACATTTTTAAATGCCAGAAGCAGACCCAATAGACCATCTGTTTGGATTAAACGGGACAAAAAAGACAGGATCCTTAAGGCACCACCCTTATGTGAGACAAGACAGGGGCATGTGGATGATAACAGTGTTATTTCAAACTTTTATTCTGAGATGATGAAGTCGCACTGCAAACAATGCTTGCAAACTATACTGCACGCACTTTTGACTATGAGATGGGATGTCAACAATCCTGTGTGGTGGACAAAGCAGAAGAAGAAGAGTTGGCAGATGAAGAACCAGCTTCATCGCCGGGGTCCATGTCGGACTAGTTACTGACCAAAAAACCCAGATGAATAAGCTCCTTCGTCAACGCCACCTGATAACAACAGGGCCGTGCACATACGTTTTGAGGGGCAGTGGCCTAAACCAAAAAAAGGGGCACTAAGGGGGTGGTTGCTTGTTAACACAAATTATCCATTTATTACAAAATATACAATTAAAAGAGAAGACAGCACACGCTCAAATACATTTTAGACTTTATTGTAGATGTTTTGATAGAACAATTACACATTGCTGATAATAACAGAAACTATTTGTTGTTTTACATTTGTATATTTACCCGTTCCATTTACAGCAACACTTTTATTTGGTACTCAGTTCCAAGACCTTCACTTTTACTCTGTTGATTTGATTCTCAGGCAGTTTTATCTTAATATAGAGAATGAATAACAAACCTGTTACAATCATATTTTAAATACAATTGTTACGCTTAGTGCTTAGGCTAATTCAATTTATGTTTTTGTGATTTCCATTACACGAGAGTAGATGTTAAAACTTCATGCTGATTTGTACTCGGCTTTCGCCAAGATAAGCAACCCTAAGACGTAGCTTTACAGTAAACTATGCTTCACCCATTTACGCTTCTTTCCATATGGTGGTGTGACTCCCCTTCTGTCCGGCGTTAACGGCTGCAGTGTACTTGGCACGTCAGCACACACGACGGCTGCAACTACAGTGTGGTCTCCCCAGTGGACCAGACCGACAACCGTCTGGATTGAGCCAAGTAGGGTTAGGGTCTCTAGGGTCTTCAAGTGGGCACCTTCCATCCTCAGTGTTTCGTCAACTAGCCCACGACACCTCAAGAGGGCTCGACAGTGACCCTGGCGTCCCAGAGTCACCCCCCTCCGTCCCCCACTCAACTCAGTCCAGCTTACTGACCTCTACATCCCTCCTGCTGCTGAGACCTAACCACAATCTCACAGTCTCTCCGCAACCCAACCATACGCACCGACCCGTTTGACCAAGGCTGTCGAGCCCCACTGGTGCGTTAATATGCAGTTTCAGTAATATACTATAATTGTCTACAAAGTGTGCCAACAACAGAAAATGTAGTTATTTGTATTAGATCTACAATAATACAATAGTACAATAATTTGATTAGACAAGCAGCTAATTCTAAGAACGTTCTCTGCATGAAATCTGTCTCTGACATGGTTTCTTCTTAAAGAAACTTTGGATGTCCTGTTGCGGTGTAAAAATAAACAACCCATTAAGTATAAATTACACAGAGTTGCATAGCTATGGTGTTAATGTTCTCAAATTTTAATGTTTACCACGGCACAACTTGTTTGGAAAAAGATTATAGTGCCTTTTAGTCTTTAAAACATATAAAGTAATATGTATCTATTTCATATCTAAAATAGATACATATTACATATAGTCATATTACATATAGTCGTGTGCGCTGCCGCGGAATAACACTGACAATTCATCTCTACATTAGCTAACGTAACTTCGGCAGACTGAATAGAGTCTTTCTGGTCGTTTTGGGGAATATGTATTCAATAATTAATTATTATTAATACGGGTTTGAACAAGATAAACTTTACATTATTAAATCTCACAAAGTTTGACTCTTTGTTTCACCCTTTTCTTAGTATTTTGGTTTAGTCCTGTTCAGTTTTCCCACTCCTCATCATCCCTCAGTTAATTCACCTGTGTCTAGTTAATTATCTTCATCTGTGTCACCTGTGCCCCAATTATGTTCCTTTGTCTCCCTGTGTTATTTAAGCCCTCTGTTTCTCCCTATTCCTTGTCTGTTCTCGTTCATATTTTGACGTGTGTAGCAACTCCTGAGTTTTGTTTAAATAAATTCCTGTTCTCCTGTTCCTCGTCGTCTTTCTCGTGTTTCCTCCACCCAGACTGATCTCATGAATGGCGTATGTATGACACGCCAATTCGTATTTTCATTTTTGGCGTGCTATCAACACGCATAATCGCTTTTCAGCGTGTTTATCAACGCCTTTGACTTAACGTTATATTACTGTATTATGTATATATAAATATATGACCTACCCCAACCCCGTCCCTAAACCTACCCGTCACTGGGGTTAATACCATTTATGAGTCTTCTCCTACCATCCTAGGAAAAGAAATATCGCTCCACAGATGTAGATATAGATTTTGCTTCGTTTCGCTCGGACATTTAACGGCGTACACATACACGCGGAATCACTCGGACATTTAATGGCGTAGAAATACACGCAAAAGATTTCGGCGTGGACATACACGCGGATAGCTCAAAATGCGTATAGATAACACGCCACTTGAATTGAAAGTGGCGTGTATGTTTACGCAAAGCCATGATGTCATGTTGCCTCCACCACGTCCCGTGACACCTTGCATCTGCATTCATATATGTAACTATACAATTAACCACAAAGGATTATAATTAATTGCATATGTAGACTATATTTTACAGACAGGTTAAAATTAGCTCAATTGTATATCAATACTTAATCAAAATGGATTATAATTAAATATTAATATATCAATTATGTTTATATATCACCTCTAAGGATAGCCCCGTGGAATTAATTTGTGATCTGATAATCCATTTGTCCAGCAAACTGATCTAGAGTTCTCAACGGGCCTGAAAATTACAACCCGACCCGACCCGGCCCGTGGCTTTTAAAGCCCGGACCCGATGTAACCCGACACATCAACATGAATTATCTGCCCGAACCCGGCCCACGGCCCGACGCCACCCTTTTGATCGGTGAGTGA